TTTGTTTTCCTTTAAGTGTTTCCTTGATCTTGCAAAATAAAAGCCTGTTCTTTCCACTTTGAACACCAGCCAATCAGGTGTAAATTTACCAGCAGTCGCCAACTGATGTGACAGCTGCTAATAGGCTGTTTCACCATAGCTCTGTTGTCTGATTGGCTGGAGAAAGTGGAAAGACTTTTATTATGAAACTACTGTCCAATTCCACATTGTTGTTTCCTGTTTGTGACCATGTAACTTGTTGTTGTTGTCTGTAACATGGTGATGATGAACATATTAAAAATGTTGATTGGCTGAGTCTGTGTGCTGCTGCTCTGTGATTGGCTGAAGGTGTTCCAGGCACATTCATAGGGTAACAGGTGCTTACAGATAGGTGTGGGTTTATTCAATGTAATCGTAGTGATATCTATTCATTAAATCCTGAATCGATTTTTTTTTAAAATATAAATGTATTTTGCCAGAAATGCCAGAATCTCAGATTAAAACTCACAAAACTATTTCAATATCCGCCAAATGGTTAATTCTGCACAATAAATACAAAGCGTGGATCTTTTACCTGACGGCATGTACGCAGATACGTAAAGACACATAAAAATCACACTTTCTGCACAGCTCTTTCTTTCAGTGAGCTTCAAGAACAGTTTACCATCAAAAATCTTTATTTTCTGCATTATTGCTTGCTTATTATACACCAGTCTGTAGTTGTGTTTAGTGCTGTTGCCCGTTTGTGCTGTTCAATACCGAGTTTTAAAAAATTTTAAAAAATGATGCCAAATTACAAAATGCTTAGCTGTAACTTTGCTTCACTTCAGCAGCATCAGGTAATGTTCTGCTGATTCATGTTCTTTAATTTTTGATCTACTGCAGAATATTTTTAAGGTTATCTGCTATAAAAAGCCAGGCCGGGTAAATCTCCTTCATGCTTTTCTGTGTTTTATCCTCAGTTACTTTGACACAAAGGCATCACAAGTTTCACCTTTGTTTTTAAACAAGAATATAAAAATATGGATATGTACTGATAAATGATCAGAATGATAATATTTCTGAGTCAAAATTGAATAGAATCAAATCAAATCGGGACCTTGTGAATCAGAATTGAATCAGTTATAGAAATCGGTGACAATACTCATCCCTACTTAGAGAGTCACCTGGGGTGTGTTCCCTTGTTCCTAATGTCTTCCGATTGAGCTCAAGGAAAATTGTGTAGAATACCCAAGGACGTAAGAAAAGATTAAAAACAAAACAAAACAGTGTGCTGAGAATTTGAACAACCTCACACTCCTTTCTGCTTAACGCCATGACACCGCATGTCCGCCATATTGAAACTACTACTATCACGGGTGATATGGTCAAATCACAGATAAGATCAGAGGTGAGCAGTGACGCTGGGTTTTTACATCACCCAACTATTGAAACCTGCACTGTGATTGGTCGTTTCAGCAGTGACTTGAATGCACCCTGCATGTAGTCCAGCTTTATGATCCGGGATGAGGAGAACGATGGAAACTGTGGAAAACATGGAGATCGTGCCCCAATGAGAACAAGATTGTAAGCGAGAGTAAAGATCTCAGGATAAGAGTTCATCCAGTTTAACCTGCAGAAATTCAAACAGCTTTGTTCCTAACAGCAGCTCGGAGGTTCCTCCACTCTTGGTCACTAACATACGAGACGCCATCTTGGTTTTAGCTCTGCAACTCAGGGAAAATTGTTTTTGAGCGTTGATTGTTTCAAAAATCTCAGTATGTCTGTTTGATGTATAAAGCTCTGTGTGGAGCACCCAGCATCTTGGAAATCAGAAGGCTGTCATCGGTGCTACGACCCAAACCAATTTTAAAATTATTGAACTTTGGTCAGAGACATGAAAATGATTTTTAAGTACTTCTTTAATATAATCTTTTTCATGTATTGTTTTCACAACTTTGAATCTTTTATTATTAAAATTTAATATATATTTATATACATAAAAATTCCCCTTTTGCCAGCTGATCTTGCCAGCTACGAATGCCGACTACGGAATGGAGCAGCTGTCAGCCTCCTCTACATGGATGACATGAAGTTGTATGCCAACCCTGAACGAGACATCGATTCACTGATCCACACCACCAGAATGTACAGCAACGACATCGTTGTTCAGACTGGAGAAGTCTAGTTG